GGGTGGTCCGGGGGGACGATGCGCGCGGAGCAGCGCCGCGGGGGGGACACGGCCAGCCCGCGGGTGAGGGCAGTTTGGGGTGAATCCGTGGGCTTTTTGGGCGCCGGGCCCGGGAGCGGCGCGTTGCGCCCGGTTCAGCTTTGTTTGCGTGCGTGTGAGGATGTTCCCTTCCTGCTTGTTCCTTCCCGCAAAGGAAGGCAGGCGGGAAGAGCCGCCGGGGCCAGAGCGGGAGGAGAGGGGGGACCGGAGCCGGAGCCGGCGCAGGGAGGAGGTCCCCGTTGGGGACACGGGGATCGGGCGCTCCACACGCTCCAAGGGAGCTCCGCGTCGGACCCGCTCCCGCCGCGGTGTCCGCGCGGGTCACGGCGCTGCCCCCCTGCGCTCTTGTCCCGGTGGCCGCGGTGATGCTGGACCTGCGGAAAACCAGGGGATTTCCCAGTGGGAAGAACTGCAGGAGACCCACGGGAGAAGAGGTGGACGGGCCACCAAAAGCGGGGCCAGAGCGTGGATCCCCCGGGACTGCTGCACGTCCTGCTCCCGTCAATGGGGGAGCCGGCAAAGGCTTCGCGGAGCGGGAACCGGAGACGGATTTACAGGATCCACAGGGGAACCTTCAGCCCCAAAACGCTCGGCAGGGATGTTTATCATGGAGGCTTTAACTGCCAAAGGCAAAAAAAAAGGGACTCTCTATATTGCCTGTTAGCACCGCTCAGTGCTTGGAGTGGAAAGGATGCGGAATCCAGAAAGGATGCGGAATGTGACAGGGTCTTGGAAGTTTAGTGCCATCAACCGAAACGTAATTAGGGGCTAATTATTGCGACGCAAATTGTCATTATTGTCAATTATTTTGGGAAATATTGGAAAGGCCTTAATTCCCCAGCTGCCGGCTCGCTGCGTTTTTGAAAGCTGCTGGATGGAGCGGTGCAGGAAAGGTGGGAATGCTGGTGCCGTGGCAATTCCATCAGAGAATTCGGGGTGTTTTCCATGAAAACTTGCGGGAACCTTGTGCTGCTGCTTTGGCAGGTGCCACAGGAGTGTGGAATAATCCCTAAAAACTTGGCCTAGTGGCATTTTTCCTTCCACTTTAAAATAAAGCCAAAATTCCCCTCCTGAGCCGGGCAATTCCTTGACAGCAGCGATCCATGCAAACCAAACGCTCCTGCTCCGTCCGATCCATCCGACAGCAGCGCAAACGCGGCTCAAAGCTGCCAGCGACCAGTCGTAACCGAGCGCTGGTGTCCGTGCCCTGAGTGTCCTACCGGGAATGCCAGCGTTTCCCAGCAAAGCCGCTGCAATCCTACACTTTGCAGCAATCCTTCTCTGCGGCCCTGGGGAAAATCCCACAGGCGCTTGGAGAGAAGTCGCTGCCGTCCCGGACCCCCGGCGGCTTCCGTCCCTTCTGCTCGAGGTTCTCAATTGCCAAGGAATCGCTTCCCGGCTCTCTCCCAAACAGAGACGCTCTTAATTACAGGTGAAAACAAATTATCTGAAAATTAATTAACGGCGGTGCTAAACGCGGCCTTGGTTTCACCCAGGACCATCTGGCTGGTGCTTCGCCATGCCCGGCACGCAGAGCCGCGAGCGTCCGACGCTGTCCCCAGTGCGCGGATCCCAGATTTATCCCTCCAGCCAGCGCAGTGTGGGAAAAGGCTCCACACGAGCTGCTCCCTGCAGCCTCCTGGCTCCTCGGGTTTCCCCCAAATTTCCCAAACGCCAGCGCCAGAAAGCCAAATTTCTCCATCCCCTTGAGAAATCGCAGTGTTGCTTTGGCCGGGGCCTGAGCAAGCCTTCGTGCTGGAAACATTTATTCCAGCTTTTTTTCTTTTCTTTTTTTTTTTTTTTTTTTTTTCTGGTTTCTGGTATTTAATGAAATCCCCCCAGCCTGCTGCTCGAATGTTCCTAGTTAGTGACTTTACGGCTAAATAATTTACAGAGGAGGCCTTGCCAGTTTTCATAAGCGAAGCATCCCAAGTATGCGGAGCGGATTTTATGTCTTCCCGCCCCAGCTGCTCCGCCGTGCCCCGCTTGCTGCAAAAGCTGCTCCTGCCCTCGGTGCCCGGCGGCTTTTTGCTTATCGGGGAGGAAAAATAAAGTGGTTGCTACATTCCGTAGCTGTCTGTGGGCATGGGGCGAAGTCCGGAAAGGAGACGGAATCCTTGGAGACAGCAAGTGCAAGAGCTTGCAGTGACCCGGAGGGACAGCGGGTTAATGCAACAAGGAATCCTCAGAGGGGATGGAGCTGATCCGAGTGCACGCAGGATGCAGCGGTTTTCCCGCTCGCCGAGCGCTTCGGGATGCGGCGACATTCCTGCGCCTGGAGCGCTGCAGCGCTTCGGGATGCGGCACCTTCCGATGCCTGAGCGTTGCAGCAATTTTATGGGTTTTTGGCTTTTTATGTGCTGACAGAAATGCCTTATCTGAGTGGAAATAAAGGTGAGCCGTGTGGGAGATGTGGTGCAACAGGAGGGCACCGGGGGAATGTTGCAACGAGGGGGACCTGTGGGGCCACCTCTTGTCCTCCACGTCCCGTAAAAGCGGGCGGTTGTGCAACGGCATTGAGCAGGTTTGCGCCGAAACCCCCGAGACTTGTCCAAGTTTCAGTAGGACCTTTCCAGTTTCTCAGAGCGAGTGGTTTTGACGGGAATTGTTGTCCTTGGTGTTTGCGATTCTACGCTTTTTTCCCCTTGATTTTTGTTTTTTTAAGCCCCCGGGGGGTGTCCTGGCATCATGCTCTGTGTCTCTCCCTACAGGGCTGCTGCGAGAGGAGGTGGCCCAGCTGCAGGAGGAGGTTCACCTGCTCCGGCAAATGAAGGAGATGCTGGCAAAAGACCTGGAGGAGACGCCCGGCGGCAAGTCCAGCGAGGTCCTCTCGGCCACCGAGCTCAAGGTGCAGCTGGCACAGAAGGAGCAGGAGCTGGCGCGAGCCAAGGAGGCCCTGCAGGGTAAGGACGGGCCCGCGGTGAGAGCTGTAGGTGATGCAAAGCTCTGTGCATCCCGTAATCATAGAATCACAGAATGCCCAAGGTTGGAAGGGGCCTCTAGGGATCATCCAGTCCAACCCCTGCACACGCAGGGTCACCTAGAGCACGTGGCACAGGACTGCGTCCAAGCGGGTTTGAAGATCTCCAGAGAAGGAGACTCCACAACCTCTCTGGGCAGCCTGTTCCATTGCTCTGGTACCCTCACTGGGAAGAAAATTTTCCTTAAGTTCCTGTGGAACTTTTGGTGCTTCAGTTTGGGGCCGTTTCCTCTAGTTCTGTCGGTGGCCACCAGTGCAAAGAGGCCAGCACCATCCTCCTCACTGCCTCCCTTGAGGTACTTCTAGACACTGCTCAGGTCCCCTCTCAGCCTTCTCTTCTCCAGCTGAACAGGCCCAGCTCCCTCAGCCTCTCCTCATAGGATCCGACCCTGGGATGTTTCTGCTGCCCCTCGCAAGCTGTTCCTCTGTGGCCGGTGCAGCATAAGGCTGAGGGAGCTGCTGGCCATGGCCGAGGCCCCCCGGTTTGGGGCAATCCGGGCGGAATGACGGCGTTTCCATCCCTGCGCGCGTAGGAGCAGCATCAGGCACAAGTAGGGAAGCAAAGCGGCTCGCCCCCTCGCTCCCTGCCGAGAGCTGGGAACGTGCCACGGCTTTTTACATCTGGAACATGCTAAATATGCAAGAGGAGAACTATTTTAAGAATGCTTGTATTAAAAAAAAAAAAGAAGAAAGAAAACTCTGTGGAGCTTTTCGTCCCCTTTGCGCGACAGACAGGCTGCGTGCGGCGACGCTGCTGCACCCTTGGGTGCAAAGGATGTTTCGGTGCGAGGGCTGCAGCTTGAGAGCAGGGGCTGGACCTGCCACCATAGCGAATTTGGGCCTTTGAGAGCTGAATTGGAGGACTTAAGAAATGTTGCCTCGATGCTGAGGCCATCCAGGGTCTGGCTCCTTGGAGCAGGTCTCCCGCGATGGGATGCGATAACTGGGTGTTGAGTCCGAAACTTGGAGACGAGGCCTGTGTGTGTTTAATTGCAATATAAAGAGCACCCGGGTAACTCCCGCCCAGGGCTGACCCATTTTATGGCTCAGTCATGGTGACAATATTGGATTTCATGGCCGGGATACAGGAACAGCAGAAATGAAGCGGACGTTAATGTGACAAGGCGGTTTGCTCCGTGCGCGCTCCAGCCGGAGCGCCGTGCCGACGGCTTCACCGAGCCCGGCAATATGGCACAGTATTGGGAAGCACGCTTGGTAAATGTTAAACCTTCCGAGACTTCGTGGACTCCTCTTCTAATAACACCTCGGAGCGTTTTCTTTGGCAAGCGATGAAGTATTTCCCGTGCATCTTGCAGGACCCTGAACGCCCCCGCTAATTAAAACAGGTTGTTGCTATGGGGTAACCAGCTATTTAATTAAATTCATTAGGAGTCTTTTGTCGCCTCCGGCTTCGGAGAGTTACAAATGCAACTCAAACTTGTACAGGAGCTTCTCATTATCCTTGGGAAAATGAAAAATGTATGTATATATTTGTCACGAGACGGTCACGAGCTCGGAAATTCCATGCTTTTGGCTGTTCCAGGGGCTTGGTGCTAAATTAAAGGATTTCCACGGGTACATTGGAGGCAAACACAACCTCAACTCAGGCTCGGGTTTGCCGCATGCCACGAGGATGCTCCCGCACTCCTCACTGGGGCCCTTATCCCAGCCACATCCCATCTGTCGGGATAAGCTCGGGATGTGCTGTTTAAGCTGCCCGATTAAGTGGCTCATTGCAGGAGCATTGAGGGAAGTGCAACGTGAGCCGAAAACGCTATTCACGCGTTGGGTTTTAATCCAATAAAAGTAGGTAGGGCATTTATAAAGAAATCTTGTTGTTTTCCTCAACCCAACCATTTATTTGTGTAACAGCTCGCTTTCCTCCGCACCCTGCAACTAGAAGATGTCTTAGCAAGTTGGAGGGGGTCACGGCTGGTTTTCCTAGGGCTTAATCCTCCCCAGGAGAGAGCAGAGTTGGCACAGGGCTGGTGGGAGAGCCCCGAATAATCCTGAAAAGCCATCGCCGGAGCCTCGGCTTTAAATTAAGAAATTAAATGGCTTAAAAAGCTCTCTCCCGCAGCCATGAAGGCCGACCGCAAGCGCCTCAAGGCCGAGAAGACCGACCTGGTGAGCCAGATGCAGCAGCTCTACGCCACGCTGGAGAGCCGCGAGGAGCAGCTCCGTGACTTCATCCGCAACTACGAGCAGCACCGGAAAGTGAGTCCTCCCGGGGGAAAAAGCAAAAATCGGAGCTCCGTTTAGAGCAGAAAATGTCTCTGGTGGTTTTGAGGCCGGTTTTACTGTTTTTGTTGTGATTTGCCCGGGTGGGGGCATCCACCCGAGCGAGCGGCCGTGGGAACCAGCATCTGTGACGGTCGTGGGCTCTTTTCCGTGCCAGGGGAGAAAGTTGCTATTTTTAAAGCGTTCTGCCGAAGGAGCATCGCTCCCATGCAGCTCTGGGGTTATTTTAGGAACCGTGGCGGGTTTGAGGTTTTCTTTCCCTCCGGCCACCAGAAGTTTTTGTGCTTCGAAACGCCCCAGCAGTGAGATGCCGAGCGGAAAACACTGCAGGAAAATAGCCGGCTTTTGCCGCGCTCGGCCACGGAGGGGTTTTGCAGGGAAGGAAAGGAGAGCCGAGCTCCACGCTGCGCTCCGACGGAGCAGGGCAGCGGGGGGGGGACCCACTTGCCACGTGGGGACCATCAGGTGGGGGTCATAGAATCATAGAATGAATCATAGAATCATAGAACCATAGAATGGTTAAGGTTAGAAGGGACCTCTAGAGATCATCTAGTCCAACCCCCTGCACACACAGGGTCACCTAGAGCACGTGGCACAGGGCCGGGTCCAAGTGGGTTTTTTAGGGTCACTAACTGTGTGGGTCCCGGCAGGAGAGCGAGGACGCAGTGAAAGCCCTGGCCAAGGAGAAGGACCTGCTGGAGCGGGAGAAGTGGGAGCTGCGCCGGCAAGCCAAGGAGGCAACGGACCACGCCAGCGCCCTCCGCTCCCAGCTGGACCTCAAGGACAACCGCATGAAGGAGCTGGAGGCCGAGCTGGCCATGGTGAGCACCAACCCTCGGCCTTCGGGGCAGCTGGGGGCTTTTGATGTTGCAGTCGCTGTTTTACTCCTCTTCCCTGCCTGAGCAAGTGCTCAAAATCCCCCAGATTTTGCTGCACAGAGGGCTGCAAGGTGGCAGCAAGCAAGTTTCTGGGTTGGCCAGGGGTCAGGGTGCTGGTGGCCAAGGAGCAGCACCTGGCCGGGCGCCCGGGCGCAGTTCAGCCACTTGAGACGCTGAGTTCCTCCCTCCTGTCTCTTCCACAGGCCAAGCAGTCGCTGGCCACGCTGACCAAGGACGTGCCCAAGCGGCACTCACTGGCCATGCCGGGCGAGACGGTGCTCAACGGCAACCAGGAGTGGGTGATGCAGGCCGACCTGCCGCTCACGGCCGCCATCCGGCAGAGCCAGCAGACCCTCTACCACTCGCACCCCCAGCACTCGGCGGACCGGCAAGGTGAGCCCCGCTCGAGCCCCTTCCCTTCCCTCCAAAACCGGCACCTCTGGAGATGAGGCGCGAGCCCGGATCCCGCATTGCCTATGGCCCCAGTGGCAGGGCGACATCCCCCCTTCGTGCTTCCTTCTCCGCTCCCTGACCAGAGCGTAGCCACCGTTATCCATGAGCTCCCCTCTCAG